GTACTAGGTCGAGTACCGAGCGTTTAGGGAGCGCACCCGCGTATTAGCCGTAGATAACTCTTTACGTAATAGCGGCCTAAGCTAAACGGCGCGCTATTAGACGCTCGAGTCCCTTTCCTCGGTAGGCTAGGAGCGAGATAGGCCTCTAGCTTCTTAGGGTAAATAAGTCTCTCTTACCTAGCTTAGGGATTATTACTACCTTCGTAACGCGGAAGTAAGTTAGGTAGTAGCCTTAGTATAGGCAGCCCTTATATAGCTCCCTTATAGCCTCGCCGATATAGTTCTAGGCCCGACGTAGCATCCGGACTATAATACTATCTACTCCTAGAGAGGTATTCTTAGTAGAGGTATATACGTGCGTTGCTTTAGCGAGCGTGACGCTATAATCGACGGACCTATACGGGGCCGCGACCTCCGGAATCTAGGGGTCTCGGATATCGTCCGCGGCTACGCGCCTCTTTAGAATCTCGGCCCGAAGTGCCTTCGCCTTCTTCGCTTAGGTTTTATAGACCGTATCGCCTACTTTAATAGGCGGGGCTTAGAATAGACTTAGTCTCTTTAACTATCGTATAATCTTATAGACGTCCTAGTTACTTTCGGCGCCTTTTAATACCCTCTACTAAAAGCATCTCTTAGCTCGTCGTACCGCCTAGCGTAGCTCCTACCGAGCTACCTAGACCTCCCTACTATGCCCTATAAGAAATATCCTCCTTATAGCCCTTAGCTAGGCCGCCGCTACGGTATACTCGCTATTTTATTATACGGTGCCTCTTATCTTTATTCTAGGCCGCCTGCCTATAGTATTAGCCGCTTCTTAAAGTAGGTAAGATAATGCCTTAGCTAGTCTCTCTAGGTGCTAGGACTTAGCTGCCGGCTAGGGTAGCGCGGTAGCCCTATCTCTTATAAGCTCTTCGAATCGCGTTATCTCTTCCTCTAAGCTAACCCTTAGTCTACTAGTTCTCGCGGGAGAGATAGTTTTACTAGGAAGCGTAATACTAATCGTAAAATAGTCCGAGCCTATATATAGGTATTCTTCTATAAGCGCGTCGGCCGCCGCGATATTAGTAAACGCTAAGTATATTATATTGCCTCGTATATGCGTGGCCTTACCTAGCGCTTTTAGTAGCCTAAGCCCGCGATTCGCTGCCTATTCGGTAATCGCCGCCCCGTGTTTAGCAGTCTATACTCCGGGCTACTACGAGCAATAGTAGGCGTTAAAGTCGCCCGCGATAAGGTATCTCTTAGGCACCTCCTACTAGTAAAGGAGGTAATTAAGCGGCCTAGGGGTCCTCTTATATTAATAGAAGTTAATAATAAGGATGTCGTTAACCTAGAGCTAGAGTATATCGCGCGTAGGTATCGGATAGATCTACTTAACCTAGATATTCGTGTCGTTATAGGCGTATAATATTACTCTCGGAGCCTAGCCTAGCTCCTATATTTATTCTAGCGTAAAGACATAGAAAGCCTAGTATATCTAGGTCCTATATATCTCGCTCTCCCTTTCTATCTAGACGTTTAGTTCCTAGATAAGCACGATATCGTAATTTTCGGCCTTTGCTAGTTATAGGGCTATGCTATAAAATAGCCTTGCTTTAGCTATATTAGCCTAGAGGACTTAAATCGTCCTCCTATCTTAGCTTCTTAATCTTATAGGCTTATAACTTATTAGCATTTAGGCGTGTTCTATTAATGTCTCTTCTTCGGAGACTCTACGCTGCTTATTACGACTATTATCTCGTCCTATAAAGGAAGGAGAGCTATAGGGTCGTGCGCCTATAAGCTGCCGGACGGTAGCTATTACGTTTAACCTTAATATTAGTCTTATTACTTACCGAGGCGGGCCTCGACGGCTCTTATATAGGGTAAGATATTTAGTCCGTTAGACGGTTAAGGGGAGGCGGTTAACGTAAGCCGTTTAAACTCTATATTAGTCTACCTATATAGCTAGGTCCCTATCTTTCTTACTACTTACTTTTCTATCTTAGAAAGCCGCACGAGCTAGCTACGTAAGCGCCTAAGTCTAGTAGGGTACTAACTATAGTCTACTAAGAAGGGTGTAAGGTAGTTAGCGTACCTCTCTAGACGGTTATAGTCGTTACTATTATAGTCTTTTCCTTTATAGCGTCGATATACCTATTTTTAGTCGTACGTAAAACTAAAATAGTAGTCCTAGTAATTATTATATTAGGTAGGCTAGCGGCTCTTAGTAATTAGTCGCGCTAGTCGGCTAGTACTAAAGAGCCGCTATCTCCTCTAGATCGCTAATTTAAACGATATAATTATTATTATAGTAGGCTAGTCCGAGCCCTTAGCCTATCCCTTAGCCTCGCGTATATCTACTAGCTCTAAGCCTATCTAGAGCCTAACCTCTTCTCTAAAAGCTTAGTTATAGTCTACTATAGCCCCCTAGATATCTATAGGCTGCCTAGGATAGTTAGGTACCGTATACGTATACTACTTCTAGAAGCCTTTAACCGTTACCGCTCTAAGGCATGCCGCTTAGTCGCCCTGCCTTTCGATTAGTTAGTCCCTCGCCTCCCAATCTAAGACATAAATAGCCTATCCTATCTTAACCCGGGCGACTTATAGCATGCGTTCTATGCTAAGATTAAGCGTCTTAGCAACGTGGGCTCTAATTGCGTGTCCCTGATAGCCCTACGCGGGGGACCCGTCTCCGAGCCGGACGAAGACGCGTAGGTCGTTCTTTAGCGGTTTAACCGGTAGAGCCTTCTACGGCTACGGGTGGGCCGGCATAGAGCCCCCTATCTACGCCATGCCCTTCCGAGCTATAGCGGCATAGGTTAGTGCCGCAGCCGTCTAGTTACGGCGATTGTTAGTATTCTTGCCGATGCGCGTCGGCGTGCCGCTAAGCGCGTTGTCTTAGTAGCTAAGGAAGTCGCGTGAAAATTCGTTGGCAAAGCGGAGCGAGTGTCCCGACGTAAATCGGGCAGCCGTCTAGTCGAAGGCCGTGTAGAAGGCACGGAATACGGCTAGCTTTGCCTGCTGTGCTTCTATCTGGCTAGCGATAAGTCTCTCTGCCACGTATGCGAGACTAACTGATAAGTCACGGGCCTCGGGGAAGTCATCGGGTTTGTCTGTCTTATTTTCGGTTGCTGCGTCTCCCATTACATCATCTTGGCGGTCGGCGTTGGTATGACCGTTGTCGGTTTTGTCGCTATTGTTGCCGCTCGAGGTGGTGAGTAGAGGTTCGTCGGGTCGCTAAGTACGTCGTCGCGACGGCAGTTCGGCGAGGCCGCCGAGTGGGGCCTGCCGAAGGAGCGCTTCTCTGGCTCCTGAAGCGTTCGTAGGAGTCCTGGGCTCCTGCTCCTGGGGCATTAGTCGCGCCTGGTCCGTGGGATTGGGTGCCATAGCCGCCGCCCTTAGCCCGAAGCTAAACGAGGGTTTGATAGGCCCTTGTTAGCAGCTATATGGTGAATATAGCGAAACTCTTAACAGCTAGTGCCAAGAAAGTATGAATGCACTTTGCCAGGGATTGATAGTGGGTAGTAGTAGTAGTAGTATTGATTACCGTCTGGGACATCCCTATAAGGGCAAAAGACGTGCTAGGCTAGAGAAGACTAGATACATAGAATATCCCGAGTACCTGGACTAAGGACCGTGTGTAGCACCTAACCACTCCATCTAGCAATTCTGAGGCTCTGAGGCCGGTCGGAAATCGGGCCCTTCCCCGTCAGCGGGTTCCAGGCACGGCAGTGAAGCCGTAATAGTAGTCAGTCTTTGGCCGAGGCCGGGTGACTGAGAAAGCCCACGAAGTCATGGGCCGGCCGCAAGCCCCCTCGAGGAGGGCCTACGGGGCGAAAGAAAAGAAAAGAAAATGGAGCAGAGAGTGTAGCAATGTTAGTCGGGGGTTCGCCCCGATGGCGATTGTCTTCTCCCGCAGGAGCGTTCGATCCGGGGCCACTTCGTGGTCATGACAGTCGGCGAAGTCCCCGTGCCTACTCCTCGTAGCAAGCAGGTGGTGGAGGTGTTGTCGATTGGTGTGCAGCTCGGGGGCACCCGGGTGAGGCCTTGAGCTCTAGGCTCTTGTAGCTCCTCAGGGCCCCGGCCCACCAGTCAGAGAAGTCGTGGCCGCTGGGCGGCAGCAGGGCCGCAAGGCAGCAAGGTCGGGGCCGCGAGACGGCAGAAGGAGTCAGGGCCGCAAGGCGGCAGAAGGCGAGGCCAGCCGGTAAAGGCGGCAGAGGGGCGAGGCAGCGCGAGGCGTGCCAGGAAGGGCGAGAAGAAGTCGGGCCGCGAGGCGGCAGAAAAGGTCGGGGCCGCGATGCGGCAGAAGTCGAGGCCAGCCAGTAAAGGCGGCAGAAGGCGAGGCAGCGTGAGGCATGCCGTTATTCGAGACCAGCTTCCCAAGAGGAGACGAACTCTCCAAAGTCTGCCTTTTGGTGCTTGCTAGAGCCCCGTTAGGGCTAGAGAGGCAGAAGCATGGTCGGGTGACCTGAAAATAATTATCCACTAACAGGCTGCTAACAGCCCGCAGAAGAGAAGAATTTTTACAGGGGAGAGTTGGATTGATAGTGGGTGAGCCTTCGCGAAACCTAAATAAAGTGGGGGGCTGGCACGATTAATGTGACAGCGATATTATTGCGCAGTTTATCCAATAGTAATAAACTACTACTACCACCACGATATATATCTGACTATCGTGTCTTTCCGATAAGAATGCGTGGTATAATTATCATTCCATATAAAAGTTAGCTTGGAATGTAATAAATAGCCTTGTTGCACTTAGTAGTTAGCTGACGTGCTATATAGATATCCTAGACACATCCCTATATCTGGGTCTGAATAACCTACTGTCCGTATCCTCTATCCGCCAAAGATAAAGGGTTTACTATATTCCAATACCTACCTCTCTATATCTCTCCCTAGAATCCAAAAAAAAAACATTGTTCTTTATATCCGCAATAGTCTTTTATAACCGTAAATCGCGGCCTATATCCCTCCGGCAGATAGATCCATAAAAGTCGGGTTTTACTTCAGAAATGGATAGCAGTCACTGCGGACGAGGTGAAGAACGTGGATTTCTCTGGACCGCCTCCTCTGTGTGCTGGGGGAATGTGGACGGAGTTAGCTCGGACCGGCCGACTAGCTGGCGGCTGCCGCGGTGGGCCCGGCGCCGGGATTCACACTCCAAACCGAGACCAGGCCGACGGGGCGCCCTCGAAACCCAAACGGTCAGCGCGCGAGGGCCCGGCTTCGACACCGTGCATCAGGCTGACTGGGCCGGGCAGCAGGAGTCTGTCCGTCGCACTCGGGGCCGTAGGCCCACTGGGGGCGCGCCGGCGGTGGGCGACAAGGAACCCACGCAGGGCGAGCGTGGGGCATACACGTCGAACACGCCCGGCACGAGCGCCGTGGTCGAGGCGTCAGGTGTGCGGCCCTGGCCGAGTAGCCCTCCAACACGCGAGGGCTCGCCAGATGTAGGCCTTCTCGGCACGGATGATACCCCGCCTGCGACCGCAAGCAGTGTCCAGTGGCTGACGAGCCGGGGCAGAGCTGCGTGCCGCCGCGCGACTGTAGCCACGTTAGCATTAAGTGGTTGCAGTGGGATGACACCCACACGGCGGGGGTATGGCCCTGAGGGTAGTAGATCATCGGACCGTCCGCTATGGTGGTGTCTCCTGGTGCTGGCACTCATGGTGTGCGGCTGCAAGGGAGCGTACCCTGGTAACGCTGACATAAGTTCCTGGGAACACACATGCTCAGCGTTGGGCCTGCCCTACGCAGTGTTCAGCTGCATGGCGCCCAGCGGAACATGGACCCACTACTCGCTGTGTGAGCACAACGGGACTGTGAGTGTCGGGACGCCGGGCGGGACAGTGACGTCTGGTCGCGGCTTTGGGTATGGGTGTGCGTTGACCAACGTCGTATCACCGGGCCGCGGTTATACGAGCGGGAAGGTCGGGTCGCCACAAGCTGGCCCAGCCGTTGGTTGGAAATACGCCCCCGAGACCCGGGCCAGCGTGTACGGGTTCCCGGCGCCGGAACCGGAAATGAAGGGAGTCAAGGCCCCGAACCCGAGCCCCGAGCGTCGATCCCTCGTTATCCCGAAGCCATGGGGGACGGGGCCCGGAAGCGGTGCAGTAAGCCCGGGAACACGTTCCTACTGTGATGTGCGGGGTTTGCCGTCGATGGTGTACTTATGCAACACGGACGGGGCACTAGAGGTGATCCATTTCTGCAGAGACGCCGTACGGGGGTGGTGGTATGATCTGTTCGGGAACCAGATGGGCGACTTCGGGATGGCGGGGTACTGCCACATGGTCGGTGTGCGGGTGCCCGACGGCCGGTACCGCTTCAACGGGGGTAACGGGAGGAACCTGCCCATACGTGGTTCAAGCGTTGGTATAGATTACTCCCATAAACATGAGGAGCCGCTGGACCTCATCTTCACCACCGGGAGCAAGAATGCATGGGCCCCCTTCCCCCGTGTGGCCGTCGAAACGTTAATTTGCTTTGAAGGGAAGGTGGTCCTGGACAGCAGGAGCCCACCGAGGTATGAGGCGCTACCGATGCGGGGCCTAGACTCATGTCGAGGGTTGTCATCCCTTGGGACCGAGCGGATACCGGACGTCGACATCTCCAACTGGGAGACCACCTGTATGCCAGCTGGCCACCCGTACGTGGTCCTAGCGTGCTGGGTGGGAGACCACGTCAAATACGCCTCATTCTGTGATGGCACCTCCGGGGAGCGCGGCGTCGCCTGGCGGGAAGGTCTCGGACTGTTCCACGAGTGTCGACCGACCAATGTGCGGGCACCAGGTCGTAATTGGGGTCAGTGGCCACGGGGACCGGCAACTCATGGTTGGGGGTGGTTCAGCTACACCGGATCGCGTGAACAGGTATTGGGGCGTCCGGAAACTGACCCGGGAGCCACTGGTTTACGGGCAGGCCCTCGCGACGTCACCGCTGGCCGCAAGAAGGCGATTCCCCCCTGGGGCGTCGGTGCCGGTGTAAGGGGGGATGCATGGGACGGCGGGTCATACTGCAATTCGTACGGGCTCCCGAGCCTCGTTTACGTATGCCACAGTAGCGACGGGATTGAGCTGCTACATTTCTGTCGAGATGCGGAGCGAGGATGGTGGTACGATATGCACTACAACCAGATGTACGACGACGGTGCCGCGAAGTTGTGCCACCCAGTAGGGATCCGAGTGCCGCCGGCCACTTACAACCCCACACGAGGGGGACGTCGGCTGGCCGTCAGGAGAATGGACTATGTGGCCGATTTGGCGCCACGACCGGCGGAGCACCGCGAACACTGGATGGACGTAAGCGGAAGCAACCCGTGGTTGAAGGCCTCCGCCCAGGCAAGGACGTTTACCTGCAAGGGCGGAGTCGTCGTCGACACGACAACGGGTGGAGAACCGAAACGGGCGACTGGGATAGTGAGCCAGGAGCCGGGCACCGATCGCGAGCCAACGACTAGTTGGGCCGACGATCGCGCGGTTTGTCAAGTAGGGCAGGTTAGGATGTGGGGCAGCAGCCTGCGGGTCATCCACTAGGTCCGAAAGGAGTCTGGGTTGGGATAGTACAGGTGGAGCTAAGCTGGTGAAATCCCTGCTTGTCGCTCCAAACGATACCACGGCTGTCCTGTCCCTTACTAAGGAGCTCGGTTCCCTCGGAAGGAACTTTTGTAGCGATACTGATGAGGAGACGCGGTTAAACTTGCTCGTTAAAGCAAGAACGTTATGGAAGGCTCTGGAGACACACCGCGAGACAATGATTCGCCACTTATGGGCCCAGGTTGGTTTATTCAGCCGAAGGCTGACTCTACATCAATGTATAAGTTTCCCGAATAATAAGGGTTTAGTGTAGACAGGGGTTAATAAGTTTCCCGGGCTCTAATTAGCCCGAATTTTATATAGACGGCCGCAAAACGTGCAACAACTAGACAACGGCTGCAAAAAGGTAGGGACTAAGTGGCTATAGCCCGTAGTAACCCTAGTTTGTTTACTTACGCGTCGCCTTAACGTAGAAACTTCGTTAAAGCAACGCGTCTTAATACGTGGTTCGCTAAGTACTAACTCCTAAGTCTACTCCTTAAGGGCTTTAAGATAGACTTAATTTCTATCGTCTATACTCGTTATAGCGAGGAGAAACTAGCGGGTAACTTCGTTAGTAAATAGAAGGTTATTAGGAAGACTAAGAACTATATTGCTTATTATACCTAGTATAATTCTTATATTAGCTCTATCTTCCTTACTCCGTAAGGCTATTTAATACTAACTAAATAAAGAATTCTAGATCTAGAGGCGCGACCCTAACGTTAAGGAATCTCGCCGCCTATCCTTCCTTAGCCGAGAGACCTACTCCGAAGAGAACTAAAGGGGATACTAGTCTATCGCCTTATAATAAGAGATCCGGAACCTAGCCTATATCGCTAGAGAAGCTACGGTAACTTTATATAACGAGGAGGTTATTCGGAGAGCTAAAGAGCTAGCCCTAGGTAGTGCTTAGGACGCTAATTCTACTAACCTAATAGAGCTCCCGGCTCTTCTAGACTCTTACTCCGTCCCCTACTATATAGCTAACGACCTATCCGATCGCCTCGGATTCTAATCTATTTACTATACGAACTATTAGTATAGCTAATAACGATTACTCTTACTTTATATCTAGGTTCTATAAAGGTAGGAAGCACTTATAAGATAATACCGAAAAGACTAGGGTAAGGGTTAAGTAGGCCGCTATCTAGCGCGACTACCGTTTACGGCGTCGTATAAAGGAGATTATATTACCGACTCCTATAATATCTTAACTTAGCGTCTTTAAAGGTTCGGAGGTTCTTAAAGAAGATACCCTTATACTATACTTATAGTAGTTTATTTATACTAACTATAGAACGTAGATATAAGTTAAGATCGACTATAGCTAATTAAGCTTTTAGATAGGGATAAGGTAAGGAGGGAAGGATATAATATTAGTTAGTTCTCTAAGTCCGATATTAACGCTAAGGACTACTTTAACTTACTACTTTTACTTACTCGACCTTAGCGGTGCCTTAGATAATTCGGAGTAAAGCCCGATTCTAATTTAAGGGATAAAGATAAGGATAGCGATAATAATTATATAGATAGAAGCCCTCTTCGCTATTATATATAGTAGCCTTCGGTATAGCTAAGGCATAGCCGCCGTAGTCCTACCCTTAGTATAGGGGGGCGGCCGAGATAATCTTAAAGGTAAACTCGACCGTCGAGGCCGCTACGATATATTCGGAGCCCGGTAATAATTCTACTTAAATAGTTAGCGGTATTTTACGTATAAGATCCGGCATAAAATAGCGACCTCGACGCTTACGCCTTAACTAACCGCGATAAGACTACCCTCCGCGAGTTCTAGATAAAGCTAGATAATAACTAAATATAGTTTTATAGTCGATACTAAGAGAGTTAGTTTTAGATAAAGATCGATACTAATAGTATTTATATATATTACTATTAAAAGGATATAAAACGCGACCTTAGTAGGCCGTATTTCTTCTCTATAGATAATTAGCTTAACTTTAGCCTTATACCGGCCTAGTTACCCGAGCTTACGCCTACTAAAGAGTTATTAATTGCTCGCGTTTACGCCTACGTTAATATTATACTTATATAAGGGTAGTAGTATAAATATTAGGGGCACGTCGTTTACTTCCTCTACGAGGTTAGCTTAGTATATAACTAGCTCCCGCTTTTACTATAGGAGTTAAATACTATATTATTACTCTCGCGAAAAGAGATGCGAGAAGTGCATGAAAATGCACGAAGGTGAAATTGGAAGTAAGGGGTCGGACAGGCAGGGCAGAGAGATTTGATTCTTGCGGGAGCAGCAATTGCGGCAGGGGAGTGATTGTTGTATTGCCTTGATTGTCCTTCTTTCCTCTATCCAACGCCCCTCTTTATACCCTTCTAGCATCTTAATTAACAAAGAAGATCCTGCTTAAAGAAGCCACTAATGTCCTTTCGACTACCGAGCTTTTTGCTGGGTTTTCCCCTCCTTTCCAGCCGTTGCCGGCACATCCGTCTTATCTCTCGCCACCTCTATAGGAAGCCATCGCCACTTCTGCTTCCCCTTATGCCCCCACCCTCCTTTCTGCACCTCTTTTTAGCTCCTTCTTCCTTCTTCTATACCGGGTGTTTTTAGCTTCCTAGGTCCTCTTGCCAGGGATATCTCCGAGAACTGCGAAATCAGGCCACGCTTCGCGACACCCCCTTAGCTATGGCCTGCCCATATAGTAGGGCATAGCTAATACAGCTTCGGGCTAGTGAGCGTATAGAGGAGGTTCTTAGCTCTGCACTTCTCCCTTTACTCGAGAAAGCAGGGGCCTTTTCGGGTCCCTAGGCTCTTTTAGACCTACTTAAGGAAAAGGGGCCTAAAGAGGGGAAAGTCCTATAAGAAAGGGGGGCCTTCTTAGAAGGGAAAAACCCAATTAAAATAGGGGGCCCTCTAAAGGGAAAAACCTCTTCCTTTTCTTCGGCTATAGACGTCACCTTCTCGTACGTGCTATTAGCTCCTCTCGTAGACTCTTAAGGCGGGCCTCTAAGGACAGCTTCTCTCGAACGTCTTCTAGCCCTATTTGCTGTAAAAAGACAGCCAGCTTCTGCTTCGGCAGGGGCTTCGTAAGACCGTCGGCTTTTATTAATGCCGTTGGAACCTAACGGACGGAAATAAGTCCCCTTTAGACCTCTTAGCGTAACCAATGCTGGTGGATATCGATATGCCGTAGCCGGGTCGACAGCTTGCTATTTTCCGTAAGAATTCGTATAGTCTGCGTGTTATCGCATTCTATAGCTAATAGGGTCGGAATTTGCAGTCGTAGAGATATTAATAGCCGGCTAAGGAAAATCGCTTCTTTTACGCTTCTAAAGCTAGTAGCTCTGCCTCCGTACTAGAAGTCGTAACGGTGGCCTGCTTCGAAGCTCTCTAAGTAATAGTTCCTCTAAAAGGGATATAATATACCCTTATGAGCTCTTTCTATCTAAGGAATTGTCCATGAAGGACGAATCGCTCGAATAAAGGAAGATTTCGGCAGCTTGTTTCCTTCCCTGCCCTCCTAGGCGCAGACTATATAATCTCGTTAAATAGAGATAAAGGATAGCTCTGTCTGCTGCTTCTTAATGCCTAGGGCTAGGATTCTAGTTATGCCTAGCTAGCCGGGAGACCGTAAAAGAGATATCCGGTCTAGTAGAAATAGCTAAAAAAAGCAGGGAGCCCACCTTCTATTAGTATTAGTGTTTCTCTTGCTCCCTAGCTTAAAAGGACGGATTAAGTAAAAGCTCTTCGTCTAATATAGGCGTAGAGGGAAGCTTCTTATCGAGGGAATTAGGGAGGAATTTATAAGCGACCTTATTAATATAGGCGTCCTAGGTAAGCTAGATAGTCCGTTAGGACCTATTCCTAAGGATTCGTATCCTAGTCCTGCTAGTTCCCGCAGACAACTAGCCGGGCCTTATACTTTTAAAGGAAGCCGTGTTTATTAGTCTTATAGATAAAGACCTACTTATAGCTAAGGACCTATTTTCCTCTTGCTTTTTCCTTAAGGACCTCTTCGAAAGACCCTATCTCTTCGTATAAGGCTAGGTGGTCTTTCTAGGCCTGGAAAAACTGGTCTCTAAAGGGGTGTTTTTCTAGCTGCTTCTGGTTTGCTGGTGGGTCCGTGAGGTCTCTTTTATGTACCTTCCTTGCTGATAGCTGTGGCTTGAAGAGCCGGCCTGCTATAAACGCTCCGTGGGAACCGTCTTCTATTAGCGTTAGGTAGAAGTCGGAAAAACGATCGAAATAGGGGAGAAACTAGTCTTCTTTTATATCGGGCCCTATACCTTCCTTTGCTTCTCGAAGCAGGGATAAAAAGGCAGCCGGGTAATCCTTCGAGAGAGGTGCCTTTCCTACCCCCTTAGGGGTCGAGACGGGAAGACTGACTGAAAAAGCTGCTTCTAGATCTTCTTCTTATTCCGTAAGAGGAGGCGTAGGGAGGTAGGCGTATTCTAGCTCTACCGCTTTCCTATAGTCTCCTTCTTCGTCTAGATCATCTAATCTAGCAGCTTTCTCTTCTTCTTCTTCTTCGAAGTCGGCGTTATCCTCGACTGCTTCGACGTCGGTTTCTTCTTCCGTTTCCTCGTCTAGGACCTCTTCTTAAGACTATTAGGAAGGGGGGATTTAGATCTTCTAAATTAGCTAACGTTAAGAGAGTAAGAGGGGCTATTAATCCCTCTTTCCGTCGAAGAAGCTAGATTCGTCGAAAATCATATCCCTAGTCGAAATAACCTTCCGTAGAAGAGGAATCTAGATCCGGAAGATATTCGTAGAATTATAACTAACGAGGTAACTAATAAAGGCTCTAGGATTAAGCTTTCTTTTCTTCTTCCTTTTTAGCTATACATCGGCAGTTATAGTGTATGCCTTATAGCCGTAGGCACGAAGGTGGGCTAGCGAGGCCCTCTTCTTCGTAAAGAGCTCGAGGGGGGATTTCTAGTCTATTCCTTAGTTTAGTCCCCTAGGGTCCTTTAGGGTCCGGTTCCGA